AAATGGCATTAGCTATGTTTAACTTAGGGTGAGGCTGGGGTCTTTCAGTTTCACTGAAGCTGCTCCCAGAAGTCAGTCATTCTGTTGTAGTCCTGGGCTGTCCGATCCCCTGACCTTTGCTGCTGCTCCCTTTGGACCTATATCGGCCAAAGATGGGGTAGGTCTTCACATTCAGGAGTGCACACCCCCTCAATCCTTAGGGGCTGGACCCTCCCATATCAGTCACTAACCAACCAACCATGCTCTCTAGTCTTGCCTTCAGACCAATTCAATAAAAAGCATTTTCTCAATTGAGGTTTCACTTCCCATACTCTCGTAGCTTGTGTCAAGATAACAAAAACATAACTATGCTGAAGCCTAGGTGACTCTCAAGAGTCTACAACAAGACTTATGTAATTATTTTGCAGTGCTGGGGCCTCACCATAGGTAGGCAACCATTCTAACACTGAGTCACAGTACATCTCCAACTCTGACTTTTTTTTTTTTGGCCTGTCACTGGCCTCTCCTCTCCATGATTTTTTCTGTGTTGTCCTGAAACTCACTCTGTAGACCAGGCTGGCCTGGAACTCAGAGATCTGCCTGCCTCTGCCTCCTGAGTGCTGGGATTAAAGGCGTGAATGTGCCACCACCATCCACCACCACTGCTGTTTTGTGTTTTGTTTTTTTCAAGACAGGGTTTCTCTCCATATAGGCACCACACCTGGCTTTTTGTTTGTTTTGTTTTGTTTGGATCCTTGTTTTTTAAGACAGGATCTCACTACACAGCCCAGTCTGGATTTGAATGCATGCAATCCTCACACCTCAGTCCCCCAAGTGCTAGTTTGCCTCCAGGCTTGATATGTATTTATTTATAATACTTTGATTTTCATTATTTAAAAATGTGTGTCTGAGCTGGGTGCAGTGGCACATGTGGCACATGCCCATGGCCCCAGGGCTCGGGGAGCCAGAGGCAGGTGGATCTCTGAGTTCCGAGCCAGTCTGGTTTACAAAGCAAGTCCAGGATACAAAGAGAAACTCTGTCTTAAAAAACAAACAAAAATTGTTTTGGAGTGTTTCGCATGCATATGTTTTTGCCAGAGATTTCCACACCACCACGTCTGTTAATCCACCGCATTTTAAAAAGTATTTTAGCCAGGCATGGTGGAGCATCCCTTTAACCTCAGGTCTCTGGAGGCAGAGGCAGGTGGATCTCTATAAGTTTGAGGCCAGCTTATGTAGAGAATTTCAGGTCAGGCAGGTGGATCTTTATGAGTTTTGAGGAGAGCCTGGTCTATATAGAGAGTTACAGGACAGCCAGGACTATAGAGAGAGCCTGTGTTAAAAAAATAATATTAAAAAATTATTTTGTGTTTGCCTGCATGTATGTATTCATATTACATGCATGCCTGGTGCCTGCTAAAGCCAGGTAGGGTATAGGGTCATCTGGGCCTGGAGTTACAGATGGTTATAAGCTATTATGTGGGTATTTAGAATAGAACCTGGGTCCTCAGCAAGAGGGACGATTGGGGGTGGAGAGATGGCTCAGTGGTGAAGTGTACTGGCAAGTACCAGAAAACCCAGGTTCTATTCCCAACACCCACATGATGGTTCACAACCATTTGTAACTCCAGTTCCAGAGAATGCAGGGCCCTCCTCTGGGCTCCTCAGGCACCAAAGCACCACATACATTCAGGTAAACCACTCACACGCATTAAATAAAAACAAAGCAAGTGCGCTAAACCACGGAGCCAACTCTTCTATCCCTCCACCATTTTTGTTTGTAGATAGGGTCTCTCTTATATGGGCCTGGCTGACCTTGAACTCTCTATGTAGACCAGGCTGGCCTTGAGCTCATAGGTCCAGCGGCCTCTGCCTATTAAGGGCTGGGACTAAAGCATGTGCCACACGCCCGGCATATAGCAGTTTATTTCCAAAAGAGGTTTTCTGGAAAACTTTATAGTGAATGAGATCAAATTCTATTACTTCTATTCTTAAGTACTGAGATATGCTCATTACCCAATATATAATATTTAAATGTTGGGAGCCGGAGAGATGGCTCAGAGGTTAAGAGACTGTCTGCTCTTCCAGAGGTTCTGAGTTCAATTCCCAGCAACTACATGGTGGCTCACACCATCTATAGTGAGATCTGGTGCCCTCTTCTGGTATGAAGGCATAAGGCAGACAGAATATTGTATACCTAATAAATAAATCTTTAAAAAATATTCAAACGTTGAAGCACGTATGAAGCATGCACTGCCATACTTTCTGGATACAGCAACACTACTTCTTTGGTGTTCACACTGTTCTGGCATTGGCTTAGGGAGCTAGTTCACTTGGGTGTTTTATCCATATCCTTACAGGATGCTATCTCTGTGTAATACTGTTTTTTTATTTTTTGAAACAAGGTCTTATTATGGCCTGAAACATGCTAAATAGCCCGGAAGAGCCTTGAACTCATAGAAAGGCTCCTGTCTGCCTTCTTATTGTGCCATGTTGCCGGTTTGGTTTTTTTTATGTACATGGGTGTAAGTTTTACCTACATGTATGTCTGTGTACCACATATGTGTAGCTCCTGAGGAAGCCATAAGTAGGTTTGGGATCCCCCTTGAACTTAAGTTACTGACAGTAGTAAACTGCTCTGCAGGTGCTGGGAACTGAATCCAGGTCCTCTGGAAGAGCAGTTTGTGCTCTTAATGGCTGAGTCCTAGGCTGCTGTTTTTAAACCACTTCCTTACTTCCTGGCCTGAAGGACACTCTGGCCAGTCTGATTGCCCCAGTTTCCAGTCAATCATTTCTCAAAAACAAAAACAAATCTAAAACCAGTAACAAAACCAAACCAAACCACCCAGTACCTTTCCCTCCAGCACCAGGAATTAAATTTAGGGCCTTGTGAGGGTTGGGCAAATACTAACCACTGAGCTGTATCCCCAAGGCCTTATTCCCTTATCTGGAGAATGGGTGTTACCTTGTTTTGCCTTGTCCAGCTTCTGGAGTGCTAGGATTATAGGTGCATACTACCATGCCCAGCCAGCCCACCACTCCTCAGGTCTGGGAAGTAGGCTACCTTTATAGCAGACACTAACACCTGGTCTCAAACCTAACCTCAGGTTGAAGGTCATAGGGCTGAGTGGGTTGGAATGCTCTAGAATGTGGCTGGCTGACTCCCAATCCACCTAGTTAAGTCCTGCTCGTATCAAGGCTGCTACTTCCTCAGCACTAACAGTTCTATCACCTTTTAGCTTTTAGCTCCACAATCCTCAGGCCCACAGCAGTGACTTCCAAGTCAAAGGCAGCATTTAGGGCCAGCAGATGGTGCAGCAGAGAAAGGTTTTGTCGCCAAGCCTGATGACCCACGTTCCAGGATACACATGATAAAAGAAATCAGCTCCCAAGTTGTTCTCAGATCGCCACATGTGCTCAACAGCACATTCGTATATATACATACACACAGTAAAGAAAAACAATTGCTTTTTGTTTGTTTTCTCGAGACAGGGTTTCTATGTGTTAACAGCTCTGGCTGTCCTAGAACTCACTCTGTAGACCAGGCTGGCCTCGAACTCACAAAGATCCACTTGTTTCTGCCTCCCAAGTGCTGGGATCAAAGGCCTGCTGCACCACAGCCTGGTTTGCATTTTTTTTAAAGGCAGCCTTTAAGTGCCGAGTTTTAAGCCAGTCTTCCCTGCTCCTTGAGGCTTCCAAGCCTTTTCTTTCCTTTTGCCTGGCATTAGAATTTGCACTGAGGGGGCTGGAGAGATGGCTTAGTGGTTAAGAGCACTGCCTGCTCTTCCAAAGGACCCAGGTTCAATTCCCAGCACTCACATGACAGTTCACAACTGTCTGTACCACCAATTCCAAGGGATAGACACCTTCACACTAATGCACATAGAATAAAATTAAATAAATTAATTTGCACTGAGAAGACAGCAATGGTGGAGCATGCCTTTAATCCTAGGATTTAGGAGGCAGAGGTAGGTGGATTGCTGTGAGTTCAAGGCTAGTATGAGAAAGCTACACAGAGAAACCCTGGCTGAAAATAAACAAACAACAACAACAAAGAATTTGCACTGAGAACTGGCCTGAAGCAATGTCCCATTTTCCCACGCATGGTTCGTTTTTGTATCACCAGACTGTACTCATACCTTCATGGCACAAAAGGTAAGGCAAGTATGGCGGCTCAGCCTTCAATCCCATCACTTGGACACTGAGGCGGTGGGTTGCTGCAGAGGGTTGGAGCTTGGGCCCCAGTGACAGTACAGCAAGCCCAAGCCAAAACTCAAGACAGACAGTGGCCTTGGCTTCAGCCTGATTCTTCCCTCAGAAAACAAACACTAACATCACCAATGTAATCTCACAACAAAAATCACATTTATTTACAAAGGCCAGGGTGGGTGTTGGGAGTAAGAGAGGGAAAGGGTAGACATGTTTGATCTGCTTGGGACCCTCCCCCACAGGGAGTAGCATTCCTTTTCTTATCTCCACCTGCTAGCCAGGGGTCCTGCAAGTAGCTGGACCACAGGGCAGAGACAATGTGTTGAGAGCCTCCTCCTCTGTACTCTGTTGAGCAAAACCCAACTCCCTATCAAAGGCATCACCTTTCCTACCCCTTCCTCAAATAGAACTTTCTGGCCTAGAGGAAACTAGCAAAGAATCAAAAGGCAGCTCTGGAGGAGAAACCTTACTATTTTTTCATCAAAGTAATGGTGGCAGGGGTACCAGTCATTATGTTTAGAATTACCCAATATGCTTTTTGGTTACCGAATATCCAGAGACCCAGGGTACCCAGCTCTCCCACTGCTATGTTCTTCCACTAACCTCGTCCTCGTACCCGCTCCTCTCTGTTGACAAAGTTGTGAGCCAGAAGTCAACAAAGAGCACACACACCCCAACTTGCATGTGTACACATAAACAAATATTCTATACGGCTGAGAAAGATCTAAACACCATCAGATCTTCTGGGGAGTGGGGCTCAAGATGCTGAAGCCTGAATCCCTGGGCAGGTTCTGGGTTCATGGACACGAATGTGTGTGTGCACAGGCACATGTGTTGGAGGCAACGGAGCCAACTTGAGTCCTTGTGGCTCACACTGTTCAGCTTTGTTAGCTCCTTTCTTCAGTTCAAATTCATCAGTTGCTCTTCTGTCAGGCCTAGGCCTGGGTTCTCCAACCTGAAATCTATTGTTTCTAGACCCAACTGTCAATTCCAGCTCCCACACCGTTGTCTCATGCTCTTTCCCCCAGTCCCTGCTTCTGAGAACTCTCAGCTCTTGCTCGTCACACCAGTCTCTGTTGGTCTTGTCTGTTTTTGGTAATCCTCCCCAGAGTGCTGGCTCACAGCTCCCTTTGGACAAGAGGACAGGTATTTTTCCCCATACCTTAGAGTCCCAAAGGAGCCCAGGAAAAGGTGCTGGATGAAGCAGAATAGGAGTAGATAAAGAAAACCACTGTTTCCCCAGCTACTCTCCAAAGAGTGAAATTCAAGCACTGGTTGGGCTGAGGTGAGGGAGGGAAAGGAAGAGAGCAAGAGGAAATGTAAGGCAATCTAAATTCTAGTGGTACCAATGGAAGACTTCCGGTAAGCCAGACGGGGTCCTCCTCTCAGTTCCTCGGAGAACACCGCACACTGCCAAAGTACTTGTGGGCAAGGAGGTGGGGCCAACTGACACAACTGTGCAAACTAAATACCTCTGCTCAAAGAGGACCAGGAGAGAAGATTTCATGAGACAGCAACAAATCAAAATCCTTAGAGAGAGCTATGGGTTGTGCCCACGCCTCTAAAGTCACCCTGCTGTTTGTAGAAGTCAAAGACAGGCTATAGAAGGTAGGGCTTGACAGGAGCCAAAGGCTGGCGCTGAGAGGTGGGGAAGGCAGGAGGCTCGGGCCCAGAGATCAGGAGAGCTGGGACCCCAGGAGTCTCTCAATAGCCGCGTTGATGTCCCCTCCTGTGTCAATTAGAGCCTGTAGGTTGGCTTCACGGTTGACAAAGCCCATGGAGTTGAGCTGGTCCAGCTGCTGTTGAAATCTCACTTCTGGCATCGGCACCTGGAGGAGGCAGGCCTTGGCAAGTGGGCATGGATCCATTCTAGGGCTAGCCCCTTTCCTGCTTCTTTTTTTTTAGAATGTCCTGTTATGTAGCCCAGGCTAGCCTAGAACTTGCAATTCTCCTGCCTCAGATTCCTGAGAGCTGGGATTGCCGACACATACCATACCTGCCTCCTAGAGGAACAGTTTGAACTTGAGTGTTTATATAATACCAGTAGGTCCCTAATACCCTCTGATCAAGGATGGCCCTTGTATCCATTTGTGTGACGTTCTGTGTCCCATCCTCCCCACAACCCCGTCCCATTCCCACTCCCCACCCTCCCCTACAGGGTCTTATGCTTAGAGTGAGGAAAAGTGAACTGCAAATGAAGGACAGGGAATCTAGATCCCAAGTTAGTAAATAACTGTAACAATAAGACAGACAGTATTTTTGCTAAACTTTCCAAATCCCTGGTAGGCCTGGGTCAGCTTATTCTTAATGCTTTTCAGGAGATATTAATAGGTGCTTTAAAAGACTAATGTTGGGATTGGGAGGGAATGAGGGAGCGGGATACAGCAGGGATGCAAAGTGAACAAAATGTAACTAATATTAAAAAAAGAAAAAAAAAAAGACTAACGTTGCTGGGCATGGTGGCTCATGCCTGTAATCCCAGCACTCAGAAAGACAGAAGCAGGCATATCGCTGTGAGTTCGAGGCCAGCCTGGTCTACAAAGTGAGTCCGGGACAGCCAAGGCTACACAGAGAAACCTTGTCTCAAAACTCCCAACTACCCCCCAAAAAAAGAAAATACCCTAAAACTTAATGCTTGGATAGAGATCTGGCTCAGTGGTTAAGAGCACTGGTTACTCTTCCAGAAGGTGTGGATTTGGTTCCTGGCACCTACATGGTGGCTCACAGCTGTCTGTAGCTTTAGTTTCCAGGGATCTTATACCTCTCCGGCCTCTGTGGGCACTTGGCACACACTTGGTGCCTAGACACACATGCAGACAAAACACTCATGCATACAAAATAAAAAGAAATAATCTGGGAGGCTGGGTATAAGTAGCACACACATGCCAATTAGCACTCAGGAGGCAGAAGCAGGGGGATCTCTGGGAGTTTGAGGCTAGCCTGGTATAGAAATTGAGTTCCTGGACAGCCAGGGGGCTGTTATACAGAGAAACTTCTGTTTTGAAAAACAAAACAAAACAAATAAATAAACTGAAAAAAAAATTAAAAAACTAATGCTGGGCTGGGTATGTAGCATGCACACATAGCCCAGATCAGTGCTCAGATAGCCCATTCTCTGTCACAGATTTTGTGCTGAATGAGCCTTAGAGAATAACCTGACCTAGCCCTCTTAATGCTCCCCACAAACTTTTGTAGAATGGTGCTTCCAGAGGAAACACAGAGGTCAGAGATACTGCGGCTACCTGAGACCCAGCCCTCACTTTTCATCATCTACTAGCTACACAAGTGAGCAGGCAGCTAACCTTTGTCCTGTCGTCCCTAGCAGCAACACACTGATACGGAGCTGTTGAGAAACAAGGTCAGTGGGCTCTCCCAGACAGAGCATTCGGCATGTACCAAGCATGTGCTGAATGCTGTCACTATTCCTACCCTACTTTAAAGCTGGACAAACTGCTGGGTGGGAGTGGCACAAGTCTTTAATCCCAGCATTTGGGAGAAAAAAGCGCAGGTGAATCTCTGTAAGTGTGAAGTTAGCCTGGTCTACAGAGCAAGTTCCAGGACAGCCAAGGCTACACAGAGAAACCCTGTCTCAAAACAAAACAAACAAAAACGAAGCTGTAGAAACTGAACTTGGGGACACATGGTACCTTGCCCAAAGCTAATAGGTGGCAGGCCAGGCCCTGTGCCCGGGTCTGCCTCCTGCTGCCTCTACTCTAACAGTGTCCTTGCTGCGGCTCAGGATGGATGCGCTGCTGCCACGGGTACCTGTGAGTTTCCACTTCCAGCCAAAAGCTGGATCATCTGCTGCATGAGTTGCTGCTGGGCACTGGAACCTGCTGTGGGAGGAGACGTGGCTGGCATGCCCGGGGAAGAGGTGGGGGCCTCGGCCGAAGACCCAGAGTTGCTGCCTGCCAGGGGTACCGCAGTCCGGGATGTCCCAAAGGATCCAAGGCTGGAGGCAGGAAAAGAACAAGAATTAGGAGATGGCAGTGTTGAACAGGACGGGATTTGGACATGAACAATGCTCATAATCTCAGCACTTGGGAGGCTAAGGTAAGAGCTTGAGGCTAGTCTGGGCTATGAAAGGGAGACTTACTTTGAAAGAAAAAGGAAAAGAAAAGAATGAAAATGTGAGATCCAGAAGGAAAAGCAGTTGGAACAAAAAGGGAAAGTGGACCAAGGGACAATGGTGCAAAGATGTGTGTGTGTGTGTGTGTGTGTGTGTGTGTGTGTGTGTGTGTGTAAGATAGATGAGAGAGAGAGAGAGAGAGAAAAAGAACATGTGTGAGAGAGAGAACTCAATGCCTACCAACCCTCCTTACCTGGGTACCAGCCCAGGGGCTTCCGTCTGGAGGGTCTGCAGCCCTTGCTGGATCTGTAGCAAGGCCTGCATGGCCCTGGGATTGGTGAGGATGGAGAGAGACTCTGGATTCTGCATCTGTTGGGAAACGTGGAGAAGGACAGCGGGAGAAAGTGGGGAAGAACAAGCCACAGCCCAGGCCCGCCCAGCCGCCGGCTTTCCTGGTCTCCCCTCTACCATCCTCGCTCACCTGCTGCAGAAACACAGGGAGCTGCAGGCGGAGCTGCTCCTGAAGCTGGGGGTTCCCCGCAAAGAGTGGCACGTTCACCATCATCTGCCGGAGTGAAGGGAGTAGGGGAGGCCTGGGTCAGCCTACCCTGAGTCCCCACAGCCTCAGACCCTCCCACCACAGCAGGAAATCTGACCAGCATTTCAAAAAATCTCAAAGTGCTCCAAAAGCCTGTGTGGGGCAGTGAAAAGGAATGGGCCTGTGTGCTGAGCGAGAGTGCATCAGGAGCCAGCCTGTGCCTGACGATGCTTGAGCTACCTCCCATGCCATCCTCCATCCCAGCGGGGAAGGCACCGTGGCTGCCACCATTTGCAGAAGAGAATGGGAGGTTAAATAACTTGCTTAGCTCACACAACTGTGAAGTAGCAGAACTTGGAGTATGAACTTGGGCAGCCTGGTCCCAGAGTGCTTCCACTGCCACTGCAAACTGCTCTCCCATGGGGAGCCCTTTCCCCAGCAGCACTTCCTTCAGCTGCTTTTATACCTGAGCTGCAAATTCAGGGTTCTGGGCGAGCGTCTGCATCATGGTGCGCATGTAAGGGGCCGAGATCACGTTCTGCATCAGCTGCGGATTTTCAGAGATCTGCTGGAGGAGTGCCTGCATTTCTGGACTATTGAACATCCCTAGAAGAAAGAGGGAGAAGCCAAACAGGAAGAAAGGGGTCCAAATGGAAACCAGACACCTCACTTAATCTACCTTATTCCAGACACTGAGTGATCAGGAAACACGCCATGGTCAAATAGACACCCAAGCACCATGACATGGTCCAAGCGCTCCTCACAATGTAAGTTAGCTTACATCACTTTATTCTGGACCTGTCCCATCCACTTGGCTAAGTGCTAACTGGCTAGAAACCAAGTCTCACTTATGTGCCTCTGGTCTGTGCCTTCAACAGGCTCAGACACAATGAGAGCTAGGATGACATGGAGAGCAATGGCTGTTTTAAACCTGGCTTAGAAGCAGATGCCCGCTTCGTAAGCCAAGTCCCACTCAGGGATGGCAATGGTACAGCAGAAGCCCCAACAGGAGTCAAAGAGCTCCTACCATTTGGCTCTTCCCTCTCCTGCAGATGATTCATATCATCCAACACTTAGAAACAGTGTTTAAGCTATAGAGCAAGAGCTAGGCCTCCCTTAGTCAGTAAGGAAGCTGAAGCACATTAAGGGCAAAGGACTTTCCCAATTAAAGTATCTTCCAGAGTACAGAGAAATTGGGGGATTCTACCAAGAGATATCCCCAGAGCCTGTCACACTGTCCTGTCACGGGGAGTCGGGGAGAACTCCCTGGGGCTTAGCAGTGTGTAACCTGCACATCTTTTTCTTCTAACATCGCATCTGCCCATCTCTGGATGCATCTGGATTCTTCTGCACCCCTCCCCCTAAACCTCATCCCCCTCTCTGATCCATTTACACTGGATGGAACTGGGAGGTGTGACGTGGTTTACTCATGAGCCATTTACTCAGGTCTCTATTAGGGACATGAGACATGGCCAGAACAGGCTTCCTCCTATGAAGGGCCAGGCCATTATACCAGGCTCCTGAGCCCTTCTGTAGTTTTAATTGAGTCTCACCTGTTTCAATACACTGGAGCAGTATGGACCCATTCAGTCCTGGGGCAGAAGGGCTGCCCTGGTGTGACCCTACTAAGCTCCTTCCACCGGAGGACATACCTGACCCCAGGCTAGCCGCATTGATCCCAAAGGGGTTCGAGACTGTCGGGTGCACCTGGCTGGTCCCCGATCCTCCGGTGCCCTCCCCACCGGACCCTGGGGCCTGGGAGGTGGGGGGCGAGGGGCTCCAGGGGTTAGGGAGGGGCTCTCGATTCTCAGTCCGAAGTGGTTGGGAGGATGAGTTGTCGGAGTTCCCGGCCAGGGAAGAGAAGGGATTGTTGCCAAACTGGGAGGAGGGAAAGGTTTTGGGTTAAGGACTATAACAAACCAGGGACAAGGGAGAGGCTCCCTCTGTGCTCACACCTAAGAGTCCCCTCCCCAGGGAAAGGAAATCTAGTCTCTGTTCCCAAAGGACTAGCTCCACCCTCACCCAACCCTGTGGAGGACAACTGGCTGCTGCTGACAGACTGGCAGCCAGAGCCCTGCAGGAGCCTGCCACCTCCTCTGCTTGTGCTCAGTGTGGGCCTCTGCTTTCTACTGAGACCCCAGATGCTCACATGCATCTTTTCTGTGCTGTAATGAGGCAGCTTTGCTCTTGGGAGCAGTTAAGGGGCAGAAGCAATGTCAGACTCACCTTTCCACCCACAGCTCTGACACTAGAAGGTGCTCAGTAAGGAATAGCTTCATGGGTGCAGGTTCTCAGACCTGGCCCTCACATACGACTCCAATCTGTTCCCAGGTCCCTCTTTCCCTACCACATTCGCCAAATCCTAACCCCTAGAATTTCCGAGGTCCCCTCAGAGGCATTTGAGACAATCAGGCATGTCCTGATGCTCCAGGGGAGCACAGCTCCAGCTAAGGATTCCCTTTAGGTTTTCTCTTTCCCCTGTCCTATGGGTAGACCAGTATATCTCCCACACTCGGGACTGCACTTCATCAGATGGTATGTTGCCCAAAGGTAGCACCAAACCTCTCCCCTCCATCCCTCCAGCAACCAGGACAGGGCTCTGCCAGAGACCTGTATGCCCAGGGGGCCACGTGTGCCAATAAGTTCTGGACCCTCCTTCACTTGCTCAATTTCAATTTAAGTAAGCCCCTGACTACCCCAGCAAGAAGACAGCTGAGCAGCTTAGCCTTCTCACATTCCTGTTTTTCAAAGTGGGTCACAGGGTCTTGGCTGGCCAGCCATCTAGGGAGCTGTGGATCCCTGGTTTCAACAGATGCCCGTTTGGATAACCAGCTGGCCTCACAAACCATGCTTTTAATCTTTACTGCCATTTCAGATTTCACATTCCTTTAATCTGCCTAGTGTCTCCACCCTTCCAGCTCTCTCTCTGTTGTTTTTTTTTTTTTTTTTCCCAAGACAGGCTGTCCTCAAACCCAGAGATCCGCCTGCCTCTGCCTCCCCAAGTGCTGGGATTACAGGCGTGCACCACTGAGCCTGGGTTTTCTCTTCCAGCTTTTACCTTGCTGCTTTTCCTGGCACACCTACAGATTAAATCTCTTTCTTTCAACTACCAGAGTGACTACTCCTGTCATTTACTGAGCACTGACTATATGGTTGGCACATTTATTCTAATATAATACCCCTATAATGTACCAGTTCTCAAAAATGTGGCCTTATGTCCCCTTGAAAGATTAGAAAGTTTTAAAACTCTAGGTCAGTTTTCTCTTTTCACTTATTCTCTGATGAAAGCTGTGTAGAATGGGATGGTCAATGAAATACACACAGACCTGAGAAGCCTACTGTCCTACATTATCAGACATTAAGGTTATCCGCCACAATTTCTTCTAAGTTCCTTTTCTTTCTCTTTTTCTCTCTCATCACCCCCAGATTTGAGTTTTAATTTCTGGTAGGTCCAACCCACGAAAACAAATTTGTTAGGGCCCTCTGTAACTTGTGTACATTTGTTTTTTTGTTTTTATTTTTAACACTCTCATGTAGCCCAGGCTAGCCTTGAACTTTTGATCATCCTGCGTCTATTTCTAGAGTAACGGGATTACAGGAATGCATGTACCTTTTTGGGAGGTGGGAGGGGAGAGTGTCTCACCTATATTTGTCTTACCTAGAACTTGTCTTGCAGACAAGACTGGCCTTAAACCTAGCATCTTCCTACCTCTGCCCCTGAGAGCTGGGATTACAGGAATTTACTCCATGCCTAGTGTATTCTCTGTAATTTTTTAGATTACAGTTGGGTTCTGAGACTAAAAGCATAAGAGCTACTAGTATAATGGATGACCTCTGCTGTGAAGAGAGGAAGTAGGAACCAGGGAGAGAGCACTTAAATCACATTCCTAGAAAATGGCAAAGCAGGTATATGGACCCAGGTTTGTGGATGCCAAATTCTTTTAGCAAAACCAGTGCCTCTGTTTTACTGTGCTCAGAATGAGCTAGAGTGCTGATCACCTTTCTCAACTAGTTAATTTGGTTGTTTTGGAGCCAGGATATCATGTATTTCAAGGTGGCCTTGAACTTGCTATGTAGCTGAAGATGACCATGACCTCTAGATCCTCCTGAGTGCTGGTGCAGAAGCACATTACTGCACCCAGGCTTTGTTACATGGGGCTCAAACCCAGGGCCTTGTGCATGTTAGACGATCAACCTGCCAACTGAGCTACTTTATTTATTCAAGAGTTTCACATAGCGCAGGCTGACTTTGAACTCCAGGTCCTCCTAAATAATGGGCTATAGATATGGGACACCATGCTCATAAAGCTGAGGATTTTTTCCTTTTTGGTGGGGCTGGGAGTTGACTCTAGGCTTCCCCCACGCACGGCAAGTGCTCTACCATCTTCTCCACTCAGAAAGCATTCTTAAAGATGCACATTCCTGGAGGTTCGTGGAGCTGGAGATGGCTCAGCAGTTAAGAGCAATGGCTGCTCTTCCAGAGGAGCTGAGTGTTTCGGAGGACCCACACAGTGGCTCAGAACCATCTTTAACTCTAGTTCCTGGGGATCTGACCCCTTCTTCAGGCCTTCCCAGGCACTGCATGTATGTGCAGTGGGCAAAACCTCCACACACATATAAGTAAATACATCTTTTTTTGTTTCTTTTGAAGTGCATGATCCTGCTGACCACGACACATCCCAACACTTGGGAAGCTGACTTGGGAGAATTTCAAGTTCTGGGATGCCCTGGGCTAAATAGTGAGACCTTGTCTTGAAAATGTAAAAACGAAAACAGGGCTCACTGAGCATTTAATAACAGCAGAGGCAGGTCGATCTGTATGAGTCAGAGGCCCACCTGGTTTACATGGAGAGTTCCAGGCCAGCCAGAGTTAGTGAGATCTCTCTCAAAAACAAAACAAAAGCCTGAAGAGGCTGGCCCAATAGGCAGGCCTAAGTGGGGGACCTCGTTATTAACTAGTCCCCTCTCCCCCCGTGATTCAGATGCAGATAATTCATGGATAACATCTGAGCTACACTGTATTGGGGTTAGCGTCTCACCTACTTCCCTGGGGACCTCAGTCATATTCTGCCCTTATCAAGTTGGCTGACCCTGATCTGCACTCTTGGGAATGCCTTCAAGCCAGGCCCACCCACTGGGGATTGGGCAAGTAAAAAGGTGGAGAAAGCACTGGGGCATGCCTAGGTTGGAAGTAGGAGTCCTGAATCCAGCCAGCCCTCCTGCGGCTTGCCTCCTGGCCCCACCTGTTCCCGGGCAGCGGTGAACATGGGTTCCTGGATGTCGGTATACATGCGGCGGAGGGCGTTGTACCCTCCCGGGACACTCTCCAGGTTGCTGAGGGCGCGGTCCTGATTCCGCATCATCTCCTGCATCATGGCGGGGTTCCGAGCAAGCTCCATTGTCTGGTGGAGGGAAAAACAGGAGATGGGCCCTAGAACCGGAGCAACACCACACCAGGAAAAGGGACCTGAGCAGGGAGGCTGCGTGAGGAAGGCAGGAACCTCTCAACAGGGCAGGGGGCACAGTAAGCCAGATGCCCTGTCTCCAATCCAACCTGGACCCCAGCCCTGCCTCCCTGTGGCCTTTTCTGAAGTGAGGGACAGTGTTCCCTTTCAGAAACTTTCTCTCCCAGGCTCAGGGGATCCACAGAGGTGTCTGAGAGCATAAGAACAGTGTCTTCTGGTAAACGGTGTCCAGAAAATGGTCTCCAGCTGGGAATAGTGATGTAGGCTTGTAATCCCAGCACCCAGGAGGCAGAAGCAAAAGGAACTCTTGAGTTTGAGGCCAGCTTGGTCTATATAGAATTTCAGAACATCCAGAGCTACATAGCGACACCCAGTCTCAAAAATAAATAAATACATAAATAAGTAAAAAAAAAAAAAGTCACCATTGGGTGCCCTTCCCTGCTGGGCGTGTCTAGCTAGTGTTCCCAAACATCATTTTGGGCCTTTCCTTTGCAGTAGTGACATTTTAAAGAATTTTGAAATTTTGGTTTCTTAAAAAAAAAAAAAACCTCCTCTAAGAATGTGCCTTCATTTTAATCTCAGGTGTAGGATAGCAGCAGACCATAATTTGCCTCGTGCAGAAGTATAGTTTTTCCAGCTGCAGATAATTTTGGGAACTTTTCACGGTGTACATAAATGCGAGGTCCCCAAGAGGCAGGGTTGGTGGATGTGTTGGTAGTTTAGGGAGGCTGGTTTTGGTTAGTAGCTATGGTCAAAGAAGAATCAAAAGGAAAGAAATTAGATTCAGGAATTTTCCCAATTCCTCTTTCCTTGTTTCTCTCCTATATAGTGCTAGCGGGCGACAAAGTAGCAAAAACCAGCTACCACAAGCGCGTCCTTAGCCTTGAACATTATATTTCTTTCCTTGGTTAATCCAGTCTACCTTAAAAAAAAAAAATTATTCATTTTATGTATATGAGTGTTCTGTCTTCATGTTCACAAGAAGAGGGCATCAGATACAGATGGTTGTGAGCCTCCATGTTGTTGCTGAGAATTGAACTCAGGACCTCTGGAAGAGCTCTTAAGCTCTGAGCCATCTCTCCAGCACCCCTACTGTCTTCCTTTGGATCTTAGCTTAGTGATACTTCTAGAAGCTCTTTTATAAGCCCTACAATAGGGTCAGAAGCCCTTCCTAATTATGATCCTAGGGGTTGCTGGGATTCTCCCTAGCGTATCACTAGTCATCTGGCATTGTCTGCACATCTGTCCCACTTCCCTCAGAGGCAAGGAGTTCCTAACCTATGTCTGTCCATAACTGTATCAAGCGTGCTCAAAACAGCTGCTCAACTGAAAAAACAAAAGAATGAACAAATAAGCCAGGAATGGCCGATGCCAGGTTTCTCCTCCTCCAGCATTCCCAGACCCACCTGCCTCATGAGCTCAGGGTTGTTGAGCATGTGGCTGATCTCAGGGTTCCTCTCCATCAGCTGCTGCATCTGGGGATTGGCCATGATCATGTGGCGCATCAGGTCAGGGTTTGACATCATATCCTGGACCAAGGGGTTCTCCATGATCTGGGACAGCATCTCAGGGTTGGACATGAGCTGTCTCTGCATCTGTTGCTGTAGCTCCATGAAGTTGGCAGAGCCTAGTCCCAGGCTGCCCAGGCCAAGGATGCCCCCAAAACCAGCTGTGGGAAGGAGTATGGTCAGAATCTACCTCTCATGCCCTTCCAAGATCCAGGACTTCGGGTCTCCAGGAGAAGCCCTAATTGCATCTCCTATGTCCCTCTTCCAGTCACTCCCACAACTCTAGCAAAGAGCCATATGAAGGCAGAGGCCAGGCTGAGCACAGCACCAAACAGCGAAACACATCAGCTGCCCACCTTTCTCTACCCTCTTTAGCCAGGAACCCCCAACCCCATTGTCCTTTTGCTCCTGAACTTGATTCCACATCTGGAATCCTGGAAACCATTATCAACTGTTTCCCCCTACAGCTTAAGGATCAACATCTGGAAGAGTGCCCACCCTCATGGGACTAGAACCAGGGACCATTTATCTTCTGTGCACCCCGCTCCCCTGCCAAATACAAAATTATGCTCTCCTCCCTAAAAGCTTACAGAGAATTGATGCAGTAGCACTTGGGGGACCTGTTGCAGCCACTGGGGAAGGGCCCCCTCCACTGCCAGCATCAGTGGCACCGTCAGAGCTGCAGGGCTGGGCAGGAGCGGCAGGTGAGGCAGGTGTGGTGGAGGGAGCAGAGGCAGAGTCAGGAGTGGACGGGGGAGAAGCAGCAGCAGCCATTGGCTCTTGAGCCCTGAGGACAAAGAGTGAAGAGCCCTGGTTGCAGGGAGTACCAGTGGGAGGGTGGCTGTGCACCCTCAAGCCACCCCAAGCAGCCTCGCCCCACCTCTCCTCCAGGCTAGCGGGACGCAGGGGCCCATCCAGGTGACGGACGGGATGGTGTCAGTATCACTAGCCTTTAAGGCAGTCTGGGGGTAACCAGTCAGACTCCCCGAGAGGTAAAACCTTATCCACCTGCACCAGGGCTGGCCAACAGCATCTAGGCAGTTGAAGAGGTGAGAAAGGATCTGAAGAGAAGTCCGGATTAGGAGCAAGGGCAGCTCTGGTCCTGAACTTACTTCTGAGGGGTCTTGATGACTAGATGGACTGTGAGCCCATCCTTGATCCCGTGCTGGTTCAGTGTGTCTCCATCCTTGAGGATCTTGCCTGCGAAGATCAGGACCAGCTGATCCTGCTGAGCCTTAAACCTCCGGGAGATTTCCTCCTTGAACTGTGGTCAAGAGGCAGAGATCACTGTAGGGTCTGCCTGTACTCCGCTTCAGGGGCTCTATTCTCAACTCTGCCCCTCTAGCCGCAAAGAGCGACTATGAGATGGGTCTGCTTTTTCCATTGGTTCCATGACACAGTCTCGAACCCTAGAAAGCCCCTGCTGCCACCTACCACAGCAGCTTCCGTCCTACCACCCAGGTCTCTGTGCCGCTACTGCCTGGGCGGCCCCGCCGTCCTAACTCTGTCAGCCTTCTCTCGACAGTTTCTCTCTGCCCTTTCCTCCCAGCTTTCTCATAACTATAACAAACATCCATCCACCGAGTAACCTAGTGTGCCAGCTACTACTTCCATCTTATTTATTCGGTCTCTCTATGTAGCTCTGGCTGTCCTGGAACAATCTATATAGACAAGGCTGACCTCAAACTCACAGAGATCCGCCTGTCTCTGCTTCCCGGTGCTGGGATTTAAAGATGCGCATCAGAGAGTGGGTAATGCATCCCGGGGAGATAGGGTCTGGACATCAATGTCTTCATCAGACACACTCTCAATACGAGCTGTTTCCAATCCAGCCTTTCCGGGAGGATTTTAAATTCTTGCACGGGAGAGCAGCAGTGCTATCAAAGGGCACACTGGGGCGAGTTAGACTCTCTAGATTCTATCAGCTCCTCCAAAACAAAACACAGCACACACTCTTAATTATAAACAGTGCACTTGCTAAGCCAAAGATCCCTCTCTTCCAACCAGATGGCCTATCCTAAGCCCCGCCTATGTGCAATTCTGGAGCAGCTTCAGGCAGTGGGAACACAGGCAACAGTCCCTCACTTATTCAACATTATTTTGTTGAACACCTACTGCGCTCAGTAAATCCTATAGAGCAGAAAACTGAACAACACAGCCGTTTCCATCTGTGAGCAGGAAGAACCTGTACCGAGAGAGCACCCCGACCACACGACGCTCCTGGGAGAGCATAGCCGCAGCTCGCTCTGGCCACACTGTGCCTCGGCGCCTGGAACCAGTAGTCGTGGCGCACACTCCCTTCAAGCCTAGGATCTTCCCGGCGCCCGCATGCAAGGTGTACCTTCCCCAAGCTCCCCCACCACGCCCCCAGCCCCGGTAGCGCGGCCAAACCTGCCCCGACACGCGCCACGAGCCCCGGACTAGCCGAGGCAGGGCGCCCCCTACCCGCCTCTGCCGCCCGCCCGCTGCCGGGATCCCCCAGGGCTCCGCCCCGGCCGGGGCCCCCGTCCCCGGCGCCAGGCCGTCCCGGAGGTCTCCATCTCAGCGCCGACTCCTCAGCGCGCCGCTCCCGCCCTCCGCCCTCCCGCGCCAGCCGTTCTACCTCCTTCACCGAGGCTCGATCGCAGATCACGATCTCCTCCTTGTCCTTGGGGGTCTTGACGGTGACCCGAATCTGGGGCCTCGTCTCGGTCCCGCTCGGCTCCGCCATGCCGCCGCCCGGCCGCCCGCCAGCCCGCCCAGCTCCTCCTCCTCCTCCGGGACCGCCCGGCCCGGCTCGGCTCCGGCGCCTCCAACTCCCCACCTCCCGCTCCTCCCCAAGGCTCCGACGCCCCCTCCGGACAGCCGCGGCCACAGCGCCCCGGGCGGCCTGGGGGGGCACTGCAGCCGGGGCGGCCCGGCCGAGCGGGGAGAGGGCGGCCGCGGCGCGGCTCAGGGTCGCCCGCGGCTCCCGGCCGCCGGGACAAAGGGCTGTCTGTGTCGCCGCCTCACTCCGTTCCCTGGGAGGGCTTGCATTTCTCGGGAGGCGCACTCTCTGCCAGGCCTGGGGTTGCTCCTGGCTCAGGACGTCCCTAAGACCTCTGCAGACTCGAGTGGCCGTGGCCCCCCGGGAGCCGCCCCGAGGGGACCATTAAGAAGGCTTTCGGAGACCTGAGTTTGCTGCCTACGTGGCTCCTCGGAGCCTTGGGCGCAAGACAGCGGGACCCCACAACGGCGTTTAACGTGCAAGGCTGGTTTAAAGAATGACCGCGGATGAGCCTGACAGATACAGAACTTTATTACTATCGAGTCGCGTGTTGACCAGTGGGTACGAAGGCGTCCTTTTCGTGGAAGAGGTTAAAAGTCCTTCTAATCTTGCCACTGTCTTACACTTCCGCTCCCCAAACCCCTAAAGCCGCATGGTCCGACTGGAAAGCTGAACTATAGTTCCCAGAATTCCTTGAGAAGTCGCAAGAAACTACGATTCCCAGCGTTCCCCGCGCTGGGCGGGAATTGGACCAGAACCTCAATAACCGGGCTCGGAGACTACAACTCCCAGGAGTCTCGCTGCAGGGCTTCCGGGGCCGCCGGAAGCGGCTGGTGGAGAGCAGCTGGCGAAGACTGTTTGGGTGCAGATCAAGGTTAAGAGACGTAGGCATGCTGCGTCCCAAAGCTTTGACGCAGGTGCTAAGCCAAGCCAACACCGGAGGAGTCCAAAGCACCCTGTGAGTGCACAACAAGGACCCGAGCAGCGAGCGCTGGAGTGGGGCGGCGCGCAGCTGCCTGCGGTCGGGGTAGGGAAGGAGTCTTACGCCGGGAAGAGGCTAGTGGTGCGAGCGGCAGTTTCGGGAAGTGAGGGTCTCTTCGAAAAGGGAAATCGACGAGTGCTTTGCCTGTTCCTGGATATGTCCAGCGCAGATCCTTGCTTCCTAAAAGCTCCAGTGGCGGGAACTGGGACAGGATCCCAGACCTTTCACTCTTCCTGAGTTTGTCGATATCCTTCCCATCTTCGCCAGGCTGCTGAATAATGAGGGATCGCTGCTGGCCTACTCCGGTTATGGAGACACAGATGCCCGGGTCACCGCGGCCATCGCCAGTAACATCTGGGCCGCGTACGATCGCAACGGGAATCAAGCGTTTAATGAAGACAATCTCAAATTTATCCTCATGGACTGCATGGTATGGACCTTGAACTTGCAGTGATCGTCCTACCTCTGCCTCTGCCTCCTCAATACTGAATTGCAGGTGTGCACTACCGCACTTGCCAAATAAGTAAAAAAGATATTTGAAAAGGAAGGGAAAAAAAAAGTGAAAGCGGGGTGCAAACGTATGTGAGGGTCAATCTCACTGAAAAGGTGACATTTGCTAAAAGTTCTGAAGGAAGATTGGAAAGGGGAAGGGAATGAGACCTGCAGTGATCTGTTGGAAAAATACTTCTAACAGTACTGGACATAGTGGCTTATGCCGCTAGTTCCAGCACTCTGAGGCAGGTAGATCTCTGCAAGTTTTCTGACAAAAGCAATTGCAAAGGGCCTAGGGCAAACTTAGTGCAAACGAAGATCAGTAAGGATGGAATGTCACAGGCTGGGGGAAGGTTATAGGAGATAGGACTAAAGAGGCATGCCTGGTTCCTAGCATTCTAGACAGTGATGGTGTACAGGACCAAATCAGTTGGTCCCAGGGGTGCCTGCTCCTCCAGGGGAAGCTCTCCGTTGTGATTCTGCCAGCACATTCTTTACAGGACTCCCAGACACTTCTGACTCCTACTGGGTGCTGAGTCGAGGGATGGTGCTATAGGACAGAGCATTCAAAGACATATAACTACAGCCCAGCCATAAGAAATGTATTTTAAGAGACAGAATGTGGAGCTCAGTGGTAGAGTGCTTTGGGGTGCTGAGATCAAGTCCCAGACACAATTTTTGTTTTGTTTTGATACAGGGTTTCCCTGTGTAGTCCTGGCTGTCATGGAACTCACTCTGTATACCAGGCTGTCCTGGAACTCACAGAAATCTACCTGCTTCTCCGCCTTCTAAGTTCTGGGATTAAAGGCATGTGCCACCACTGCCTGGTGCAATTTTTGAGTCAGAGCCTCGTACACACATTGATACACTAAGACAAGTTTCATGAAACGTCACTACTCTTACTACATTTGACATAAGTCATTCCTTCTTTTTTTTTTTTTTCAAATGTTGATGAACCTTAATTGATTTTCATTTTGAAAAGTTATACCATGGGAAAAGAGGAGACGTGTAAGTTGAGTTTGTGATTTTTTTGGATTTCTTTTTTTTTTAATTTTATTTATTTATTATGTATACAATATCTGCATGTGTGCCTTCACATCAGAAGAGGGCACCAGATCTTATTATAGATGGTTGTGAGCCACCATATGGTTGCTGGGAATTGAACTCAGGACCTCTGGAAGAGCAGCCAGTGCTCTTAATTTCTGAGCCATCTCTCCAGCCCCTGGATTTATTTCTTTTATTCTGTGTGTATGAGTGTTTTGCTCAAATGTTACATCTGTGCACCACATGCATGCACAGCGCTCCTGAGGAGGCTCAGAATGAATTGAAGTTATGGATGGTTGTGAGCACAGTGTTGGAGCTGGGAATTGTTGCTCCTACAGGAGCAACAAACAAGTTGGCTTATTGTATCTGGTCACTCACCTGTTGAGACAGTTCTTGGCATTAGAGAAGAAAACCCCTGTTTTCAGGAGACTTGGTCTTCAGAATAACTTGTTTAGGAAGTGGCTGTGCTGAGGCTGGACTGAGTTTTAGACTCCCATGTCTTAAGTGCTGGGCAAAGCTTCCCAGTTGAATTCCTGTTCTGCAAGGCTTGGGAGACAGTATCTCTAGGATCAGAACCCTGGGGAAGGCGGGAACTAAGGGTGTGAAGAGAATGCCCCAATGAATCATGTCATCCCTACCAGGAGGGTCGTGTAGCCATTACCCGGGTGGCCAACCTTCTGCTATGTATGTATGCCAAGGAGACTGTGGGCTTTGGGATGCTCAAGGCCAAGGTGAGTACATTCCTGTGTTACAACCTTCCTGAGCTCAGCCATAGTGCCTGTTCACTGTGTCTGCTACCTACATGTACCCTTTTCTGGAGTTCTCAACATTTCCTCAGTCCATGTTGGGGATGGGCTGGGGGCTAGGTAGTTGGTAGGTGTGGGGTGGGGAGCCAGCCTGGTTTGAGGATCCCTCTAAGCATAAGTCATGCAGGGACTGACTTGTGTTCTCACCCTCTTGCAGGCCCAGGCCTTGGTGCAGTACCTGGAGGAGCCCCTCACGCAAGTAGCAGCATCATAATAGCGTGATGGAAGTTGGAGTTCAAAGGGACAGCGGTTGGGAGGGACAGGGCCTGGAGATTCCTTATCGTGCTGGGTACAGGGAGGTGGGAGTTTTCTGAATAAAATTTAACTCTTGCCTTGTGTCTAAGCTGCTTTCTTGGGTGGAAGGAGTCAGGATATAGGAAGGAGTGGGATGGCTTGCTTCAGAGGATTCCTTATTCTCTGCAAAGGTGGGCTCCCTCATTTCTCCATCACTGAATCTCCCATTGGTCCTTGGCAGGGCTGCCCAGAGCCCTTGGCTTCTCCAGTGCTGGGCCCCACCTAACTCCTGTTCCTGTCACTCAGAATTGCTTTTATTTAAGCAAATTTTTTTCTTTTTCTTGAAGTAAGATTTTTCTCGGTAGCCCTGACTGTCTAGAAACTCTCTCTATAACACAGGTTAGCTTCATACTCAGAGATCCTCCTGCCTCTGCCTCCTGAGTGCTGAGATTAAAGGTGTGAGTCACTACACCAGCTTAAAATTTTTTTTCTAGGATAATTTATTTTGTATACATGAGTGTTTTGCCTGCTTGCCTGTCTCACCCGTGTATGCCTGGTACCTGTGAAGGGCATCAGCTCCAGAACCAGAATTACAGGTGGTTTTGCGCCACCATGTAGTAGCTGAGAACCTAACCTGGGTCTTCTGCCAGAGCAGCCAGTGCCCTCAACTGCTGAGCCCTTCTCAAGCCCTCAGAGCAGACCTTCCCATCCGTTTGGCAGCACCTTGGTACTAAAGCTAGAGGAGCAAAGGCCCATTCTTGTTGGATGAAGAAAATAGAGATCCCTGGAGTTCAGCTTCTAGCTGACGGAGGGGCGCCCCCAACTCCCTTTCCTAAGTTTTCTTGAGTCAGCCAGACCCTCTCTGCAGTATTCGATTTGTTTTGTCAAATTATGGGCATTCAGATTTTTCATCACTGCATTTACTAATTGCATATGTGTTCACGGTATGTGCATGCATGTGTCAGTATAATCAGGGCAGTCAGAAGACAACTTTTTACAAAATATTTATTTATTATTTATACAGTATTCTGCCTGTCTGTGTGCCTGCATGCCATAAGAGGGCACCAGATCTCATTATAGGTGATTATCAGCCACCCTGTTGTTGCTGGGAATTGAACTCAGGACTTTTGGAAGAACAGCCAGTGCTCTTAACTCTGAGCTATCTATCCAGCCCAGAAGACAGCTTACTTTCTTTCACTAAATTTATGGTAATTTTTACAATAGCAGTAGAAATTTTGCTGATACTCAGAAATGCAAGCTGATGTAAAATTTTCATGCTCTGAAATTCTTTTCCAAGTGTCCAGATTTCTGGTTGTTGGCTGTGCCTGAGAAGATATACACAGACAAATTCTTTTTTCTTTCTTTTTTCTGAGACAGGGTTTCTCTGTGTGGGCCTGACTGTCCTGGAACTCGTTGTGTAGACCAAACTGACCTCGACCTCAGAGGTCCATTTGCCTTTGCCTCCACCCTCCTAGAAGACAACTTTCATAATTTGATTCTTTACACCATGTGGGGCTCAAGGAATAAACTCAAAGTAGTCCAACTTGGTGGAATTTTTATGTGCTGAGCCATCTCACTGGTGTAAATATTATGTTCATTCATTGTGTGTGTGCAAGCATGTGTGCCATAGCACGTGTGGAGATCACAGGACAACTCGGAGTAGAGTCTTTCCTTCCACCCTGTCAGTCCTGGGGTCAAACTCAGGTCAGGTCAACAGGCTTTGAAGCAAGTGCCTTTACTTGCTGAGCCATCTTACTGGCCCTTGGTTTGGTTTCAAGAGATCGGGTCTTATTATGTGGCACAGGCTGGCCTGTAAAGTAACATAATCCAAGCTGGTTTCCAACTTTCCGCAGTTCACCCCCCCCCCAAGCTTCCTGGGGATTACAGGGTAAACCAGCCAGCCTGGTACTTGTTGCAAACAAAATGCCTGACTGAGCTGAAGACCCCAGAAGGCTGCAGGCTCTTCATCCTCAGCTATAGTCACCATTTCTAGTTCTTTCTGCCCTTGTCTCTGACACCCATCGTTGAAGGGAGCAGGTCTGTGTGCCTTATGTAGAAAGGAGTCCCAGCTCCACCTGAGTGAGAAATGCTGCCTATCCCTGGCCCAGGGCTGTTAGGGAGGGGCCAGAAGCTGATTGCTGGTGCAGTTCCCACACCTCTGTGCTATAGAGAGATGCTGTACCCAGCCTGCATCTCGCCGCAATGGCCCTTCCCCTGATGCCATCGGTATGCGTCCTTACCAAACCTGAGGTGGGAAAGCTGGAGGCCAGTAGCCTGCCAGGTGTCTATTTCTCTCAGCCCGGTGTCAGCTCCCCTTCTGCCTACCCCAGAAACCCAGCAATGTGCACTCAGCCCCCGCGGCCCCCAGCCTCACCCACTGTTACCTCTAGGAGCAGCCTCTCCCATTTGGGGGAGTGTGGGCTGAGAGCAGACACCTAACCTGTTTAACCTGTTTGACGTCATCTTTGCTCCACCCTCCTGTGCCCCAGGTTCCCCAGTGGAGCTAGCTAGCTCTTCCTGTTCTCTGCTTCCGTCCTCTCAGCTTCCATAGAGTAGCTTAACTTGTCAGAGCTGAGTCTCCTGGCCTCAACTTAACCCTCTGTCCCTTACCACAGTGAGAGAGGAGCTAGGAGCAGGTCTCTTAAGAGCTGAGAGTTGAGGCCATTTAACCAATAAGCAGACTTGTGATCTCTGTACCTGCAGACACCTTCACTCTCCATGCCGAGCTAAGATGGGGAATCAAACAGATGAGGATTATAATTTTGTCTTCAAGGGTAAGTTGGGGCTCTTGAAAAGGGAGAAATTCAGAGAGGATGGAAGAGAGGCTATTTCCAGAGGAGACAGTCTCTATTTAGTTTTTATCTCTTCCTTGGACACTCTTCCCCCTTAGGTTCAGTATTCCTTCTAGGAGAGAAAGGCTATGAGGGGTATAGGCGGGTCTGGTTACAGAAAGAAGTTCTGAAGTTGTATGTTGTGTAAAAAAATGCTGAGCATTCCTTCCTATTGCCAAATTAGGCTTCCCTGCCCAGTCTTTGATAGACACTCAAATCCCTGGGAATGTCAGCCAGTGAAACCCAAGAGGTGGAAGTCAGACTTCAGAAAGGACTTGCAGAGCAGAGGGAGAAGCAAGTCAATTTAAGAGGTGTGTCTTTCTGGGCAGGTGCATAGAGCAGAGGGGAAGGAGGGATGTGGTCCTTGTTGCTCTAGATAGTTGATACTTACACAGGACAGTGGCTCCGGAGCAGTCTAATGGATTCCCCAGGACTCCTGCGCTGCAGTCTGGGCAATGGCCTTTCACACCTACTACTTTGGACCCAGATATTAGGTGCTGGGCTCACCGGGCTGTCTCTGAAAGGGAGCATGCATCCTTCCTGCTTTTTGTTCTCAATTCCTAGTGTTTGGTCCCCTGTGGGTCTCTATCCCACCTCTTTAAAAGCAAGGTGGCCTCTCCTTTGCACCACACCCCACAGCCTCTCCCAACCTCAGCCACACCCTGGTTCAAGCTGGGGAGCCTGTGCCTCGGGCATTTTCCCAAGGAAGCTGGTGGGGCTGTGGCCCTGGTATAGTGACTCCCATTTGTTGAGCCCCTAGCAGGTGCCATTCTCAGAATCATCTTCACATCCTTGGTGTGGTCTGTCATCTTGAGCTGTCCCTTCGCCTCTTTGCCACTTACTTGTTGGCACAGCTGGGCTCCCGTGGCCACTATGGAGAAGCCTGGGATATTCTGTGCTGGTTATAGATCACCATATGTGAGGACAGGCAAGAGGAAGCAGGATTGGTACCTGCCATGAGAGCTCAGAGCTAGTTGTAGAACAGGCAACTTTGGGGTAGGAACATTGACCCCGGGGTACCACATGGTGCTGTCTAGGAGAGGCATGACATCCTATGTCCAGGAGGGCTCCTCTCACTCATGTAGGCACAGGCAGCCGTCACCGCCACTGCCGCTTGCAGTGGGGTCGGTTAAATCTTTCCTAGGTGATAGAAGTGGGCTGTACGTCTATGGGTAGCACAGTGACAGAGACATACTAGACAGGAGTCTTCCTTGCCTATAAAAATGGAAGTAGTGGCCAGGTGGTGGTGACAAACACCTGTCATCCCAGCACTCGGGAGGCAGAGGCAGGTGGCTCTGTGAGTTTGAGGCCAGCCTGGGATACAGAGCAAGTTCCAGGACAGCCAGGACTACACAGAGAAACCCTGCCTCAAAATAGGTAGATAGATAGATAGATAGATAGATAGATAGATAGATAGATGATAGATAAATAAAGGGGGCCCCAGGGCATTGTTGTGAGACTATAGAAAGGTTTTTGGGTGGTGCTGGACATGAAGGGTGCCCTCGTTAAATGTTAGCCACTGGCATCTCCATCTTACAGAGGAGGAAACTAAGGTACAGAGTTAAGTAACCTACCAAAAAGAGGTCACAACATGGGGCAGGGGGTTGGCTCAGTGGGTAAGAGCACTGTTGTTCTTGCAGAGGACTCAGATTCAATTCCCAGTACCCACATGGTGGTCGCAACCATCCATAACTCCAGTTCCGGGCGATCTGACACCCACCAGGCACGCATGCGGTACATAGACATACATACAAACACAACACTCATACATACAAAAGAAATAAATCTTAAACTAATTTAAAAGGCGCAGCAAAGCCAGTGGAACAGGTGCCTATGTGATTCTAAAACCTTGCCCCCCCCCCACACCTGAGGACAGGACTGGGGACAGATGAATGAGGATGTTTCTCCTAGCAAAGGAGAGGCGGAAACACTTGCGCGCACGTGCGCGTGCACACACACACACACACACACACACACTCTTACACCTTCCTCTCACGTACAGAAGTGTCACCTGCCAACCTTAGCCTCAGTCTCCCATGTGACACGTGACACGCCCAACCCCTTCTTCCTTGTCCTTCCAACTCACATACAGACATCAGCAACTTTCCCATGCTCCCTAGTCCAGAAATGTGTGCCCAGACCTCCCACGCCTTAGTCCTTATTCACATGCCTTGTCTCAGGAACCTTTCCACATGTTCTCTGTGCACAGCTCACAGCTGCTCCTGTCACCCTGTTACTGCGTTACCAGCCCCCTGGGGCTGACCCTGCTGCCTCAGCAGCCCCTGGCTTGACCACTCCTGGCCCTTCTGTCCCCCACTCCCAGAGACAGATGTCCTATGTGGTGTGGCCAGAAGAGACAACTCTCTTCCTGCTTTTCTGAGCTCAGTTGTCTCTCCAGTGGGCCAGACTCTCCAGCTCAGGTATGCTCAGAGCTGCGGTGCCCTGACTCAGCCCTCCTCTCTCCACTCCCTCAGTGGTGCTGATCGGCGAGTCAGGCGTGGGCAAGACCAATCTGTTGTCCCGGTTCACCCGCAATGAGTTCAGCCACGACAGCCGGACCACCATCGGGGTTGAGTTCTCCACCCGCACCGTAATGCTGGGCACCGCTGCTGTCAAGGCACAGATCTGGGACACGGCTGGCCTGGAGCGATACAGAGCCATCACCTCTGCGTGAGCCCAGGCCTAGGGGCGGGGAGTGGGGGTGTGAGGACCCTGGGAAACCAGGACTCTCCTATGGACTAGAGATGTGGGAGGATGGGAGGCAGGCTCCGCGGTGTGTTTCCTGCGGTGGAAATCATGAAGACAAAAGGGCTGTGATTGAGCAACAGGGACAGATAGGATGTAATGATCATTAACACAAGTCATGGCCCCACTTACTGGGCACTTCTCATGTGCCCAGGAAGATACAAAGCACTGTATACCTGACGTTCTGTGGAGCTCTTTAAGGAGTGAAATGCGATAACGCGAGCCCGCCTTGTTTAAGTTGGCGCGTGGACTGAGAGCGCCCCCTTACTTCAGCACAGTGCTCTACTCTTGGCAACACCTCTGAGAGCAAGTGCCGAGAGCGAGCTGGACATTCGGAGCAGTTTTGTACAACAGGCTAGCCTGAGCTCACAGGTACACCTGGAACTCTCTATGCAGTCCTGGCTGGTCTGGAACTTGTATGTAGACCAGGCTGGCCTGGAGCTCATGGAGATCTGCTGCCTCTGCCTCCTGAGTGCTGGGATTAAAGGCGTGCACCACTATTCCCAGTCACTGTTTTTTAAAATTGGATTGGTTGGTTGATGGATGGATGGACAGATTGTACTTGAGACTGAATTAATGGCTTCCCAAATACTAGGCATACCTCCAGCTTGGAGTATTCGGTTTATAAAGCCTCAGAAAATTAAGCCATCTGGCACCATATCCAAAGTGTCTCCTGATAGGTGTCAGGTGCAGCTGTCTGAAGTGTGGCCAATCATGTTTGTTGGGAGATAGAACTGGCAAGAGACAGAAAGCAGGAAGCAGGGGTTGTTATGTACACAATTGTTATAGCCACACCCATCTGCTGCTCTTAGTCTCTCCTCTCAGAAGCGTGGTCGATTTGTTAATAAGGTAGGAATAAACCAGGTACGGTGGTCTGTGCCTGTAACACCAGCTGAAGCAGGATTGCCTTGAGTTTGGGGTAAGCCTGGGCGCTACATATTGAACTCTTGTCTCAAAACAAAACAAGAAATATTTAGATGCCACAAAGTCTTAGGACAGCTTTTTGGATGGATGTGGTGGTGCATGCCTTTAATTCCAGTACTTGGGAGGCAGAGGCAGGCCGATTTCTGTGAGTTCAAGGCTAGCCTGGTCTACAAAGCAAGGTCCAGGGCAGCCAGTACACACAGAAAAACCCTATCTGTGTGTGTGTGTGTGTGTGTGTGTGTCGTCGGGGGAGCGAGGGCGGGGGGGGGGAGACAATCTTTTGAACTCAGAGGCTCCTGAAAGAGGCCAAATATCTGCAGGAATTCAGGCCAGGTACTGGCCCAAGGAGCTCACCCTGGAAAGATGCCAGCAGATGAGGATCTGTGTGAGAAAGACATCAAGGTGGAAGATCCACTCGGGCATTGCAGATGGGCAGGGCTGAACTCAGGCAGAGGACTGAAGAAGCAGAGTGCCTTTGAGGAACTGGTGGGGGTCTGGACAGGAGGTGAAGCTTCACCTCCTGAGACCAGCTCCCCTGCCGCACAGGGGCTGAGTGCCTTGCGGGGGCTGGGGTCCTTCCTGATTCCTGGCACACTAACACCAGGCTTGATGACTGAGCTCTGGGGCTGAGGCTGACAGCCCATCTGGTCTCTGCCCATCCCTCCCTTGAACCCCCATGCAGGTACTACCGTGGAGCAGTAGGGGCACTCTTGGTATTCGACCTCACCAAGCACCAGACCTATGCTGTCATGGAGCGCTGGCTGAAGGAGCTCTATGACCATGCTGAAGCCACTATTGTTGTCATGCTCGTGGGGAACAAAAGTGACCTCAGCCAGGCCCGGGAGGTGCCCACTGAGGAAGCCTGCATGTTTGCTGGTGAGAGCCCACTCCTACCCAGTCTGACTCCTCATCAATTGCTCATAGACTTAGGGCCCTGAGTAGTCTTCCCTTGTGTGGTTCTCTGCTTCCAGCCTCTTTGGGAACCCACAGGTCTCTCTCAACACCTTGCTGTGAGATTGTTTTCATTAGTTCACAGTTGATTTTAGGACTCACCTGGATGAGGTGGCACACAGCTCTAATTACAGCTCTCGGGACAGCAGAGGCAGGCAGACCTCTGTGAGTTTGAGGCCAGCCTGGTCTATAAGGTCGGCCAAGGCTACACAGAGAAACCCTGTCTCAAAACAAAATAAAACAAACAAAAAAAGACAGTCCCACTTTGAAAATCTGAGGCCCTTGTGGTCTCCTGGTGGCCATTTCCCCAGAGTCCGGGTTTAGCAGTAAGCAGTTTGTCAGTTGTGTGGTTTATGTGACAGCCTCCAGCCTCCTCTTCCTCAGTTACTAGATGCAGGCCATGGAGCAAGTTCCTTCTTCATTCTCTCTGTATTTCTAGGTTTTCCTTTCCTAAATGAACCTACCTCAAAGATTGTATAAGGGATTAAATAAACTATTATCTCCCAAAGGTTTGGGGTATAGAAAAGAGACATAGAAAGCATGAAATAAATGTTATTTCTGCTGCTGTAGACCCACAGCTAATGTGCACTTCTCTTCCTGGCAGAAAACAATGGTCTGCTCTTCCTGGAAACCTCAGCCCTGGACTCCACCAATGTTGAGCTGGCCTTTGAGACTGTACTTAAAGGTGAGAGCCTGCCCACTGGGCACTCCATTTTGGGTGGGTATCCTGTCCTAGCCCTCGGCCCCCTGTAGGCCTCCAGCCTCCTCAGAGCCACCGGTCCCATGTCTCATCCCTCACTTATTCTAGAATTTAAGGGAAAGAAGAACCAGAAGGGTCATGTTTTATGGGGCTGAGTCTGGGTTCTGTGTTTACCCAGGAAGATGGACAAGACCAGGTGTCAAAATAATTTTGTTCTAGCAAAAACTCTTTCCGGAGTGGCCACCTGTGCTCAGAAGTGGCATGGAAAGTGTAACGTTAGGGGATGTTAAACTTCTGGCCTGATTACTGCCCTCTGTTCTTAGAGATTTTTGCAAAGGTGTCCAAGCAGAGGCAGAACAGCACCCGGACCAGTGCTGTCACCCTGGGCGATGCCCAAGCAGGACAGGAGTCTGGTGCTGGGAAGAGGGCCTGCTGCATCAACCTCTGACTTCAGCCATGGTCAGGCCTGAGCTCCTGCCTTCAGCCTCCGGATACCCCCACCACCCCTTATGCAGGACTTCTCCCTACTCCAGTCCCTCTTCACAAGCACCCAGGGTCGTCCTGCCATACTGCATGTCTCCATCATCTGTGCATGCCCTTCACAGGCTAGGGCCCTCAAATAAAGCTGTTTTGTATCATGCATGGCAATCCTGCTGCCTTCCATCTGTTCCTTGTCGGATTGTCTGTGCTGCCCTTCCAACTTTGACTCCTCCTCTGAGTTGCTGATCCCTTTCTCCACCCCTTTCTGTTATCCCCACCATATATATCCACTGTCCCTCAGGGCCTGCTTCTAGAGTTCTGCAGTCTGGGGACAATGCCAAGGGGGCAGGAGTTGCCTATCTTTTCCCTCTGCCAACCCCTAGGGCAGGTGGGGGATGGAAGACTGTGTGAAGGGGAGGGATATTTGGAAGGCAAAACAAAAGAAACCATCCTCCAGCACCATCTGGTACCCAAAGCCCTGGTGCCAAGAACTGAGGTCACTCCAACGCCAGGGGCAAGAGGAGGTGGCTGGGGAAGATTCTATTGAGCAGGGCCAGCCTGAATGTGTACCGAGGGGGAGTTCCTAAGACTGGGAGGTGAGCATCTCACCCCTTACCTGTCCCTAAACAGGGAGGAACCAAAACTGGTAGAATAGGGGGAAGATTTTTTGTCTCTCAAAAATCTTCCAAGGAGCCAAGAGATGGCTGTCCCAGCAAAGAATGACAGCAGGGAACCCTGGAGATACCCATGTCCCACACCACGGTAGCCCACCCTCCCACTGAGATTGCTACCCAAGCTCCACCTCGCACACAGTGAAAGACAGAGCCTTAAGTAATAATACTTTTAATAAAATTAACTTCTCAATAGCACATTTAATACATTAACCCTCCCCCTTCTTGGTTTCTTTGCATTGTGTGCAACATCATTTTGACTTGATTATTCATGGGTCTATTTTCTTTCCCACCTCTATTTTGCATTTGAAACCTTCCTTGGTGATTTGTACCGTCACGAGATGCCTCAAATTAAGTCTGACCACAATCCTACTCTACTTTCTACAGCGGAGAGACCTTCTCTGCCCCAGGGCTGTCTCCACCAGCCACCTGACCCCTCAAGCACTCACCCTCAGGTAGAAAGGGGAATTTCTCCCCATCCCAGATGTTACCATCTCAAACTATCTGAGGATCCTTAGGGCGAAAAGGGCAGGGGAACTTCTAGTCTCTAGATGGGGTGAGAAGAGTACACTGGGGAGAGGGAGATTGTGTTTGGGCCCTAGGGTCATAAGTGGCATGTCAATCATTGCTATACTGCTTGCTCAAACTAAAGCCAAGCGGCCTCTCCCCATTCTGATGCTTGCCAGCTGGGGCCGATGGACAGCAAGTGCTTAAAAAATGCCTATTTCTCACATGCAAAAGCCAGGCTCCCAGTTTTCTGTGGGGAAGGTGATGTGATGTGGCCCTGTGGGTGATCCCTATCTGAACACAGAGGGGAGCTGGGACACAAGGGTTGCCCTGGAGCCACCCCAGTTCCCTGCACTTTTAAGGGGGAGGGGAGACTCTCCCAGGCCCGTAAGGACAATACCTGCACTCTACTTCCTGAGTAGGAAGTCTTTCTTGGGATGTTTAACTTTAAGCCAGGAGTGGTGGTGCATGGCTTGTAGTCCCAACAATTGGAGGCAGCAAGAAGATGGCTGTTAGTTTAAGGCCAGACTAAGCTAGAGACCCTGTGTCAAAAGATAAAACAAACAAACAAAAACCCCTCTACAGACGTGAAGGGAAAGGGCACTAGAGATTGCACTAGCGCCACTCCCACGGCCACATGGGTGCTGGGAAGTCTGAGGTGACAAGCATTTCCAGGCTTATTTGTGGACTAACTACACCTGGCTCTGGAACCAACCTGCAGCAAGGTGGGCTAAGGTGATGTCAGGAACTTCCTCAGGGTGGCCTGGGAGAAGCTGCCGTGGGAGGGCTGGAGATTAGGAAAAAGGGCTTCCCAACAGATGGCCAGGCTCTCAGCCCAGCCTCACCTCACTTCAGATGACCAGCGTACACCCTGGCAAAGACCCCGGGACAGAGCCTCTCATGTACTTGTCCCACACTTAAAAACCTAAGGATTCTCAGAATCAACCCCAGCAGACTGGAAGCTCCCAATCTTAGCTAGCAGCCTGCTGCTGCCCTATCCCCAGGGGTAGGGCCGCTCAGCTGCTGGCCTCTATTCTTTTCTTTTTTCCCATACTTTTATACATTCTACTGGGCTCAGGGGCCCACAACGCTACTAAACTTTAAGCTATCTGAGTATCGTCTACTAAGTAACTAGTAATTCTTTTTCTTTCTCTAGGATTATATGAAATAAATTTGAATTATTTTGTAGTATTCTCTTCTTTTAAACCCCTCAGTTTTTCTTTCTCTTCTCATTTTTTTCCTTTTGGTTAAAAAAAAAAAAAATCTATTACTCTTAAGTCTCACACCTCTGAGGGTTTCCATAGGCCTGCTAGGCCTCAGTTCTGGTTTTCCCCTCCTTACTGCCCCTGGCACAGGGTAGGGGATGGAGGGGACACCCCAGGACCCTCAGTTCTTAGTCTCAAAGCTTCTTCCTTTCTGGTTAATCCCTTCCTTTGTTTGGCTCTGCCGGCTCCCCTGAGGGGGAGGAGGAGGGGAGCCCACGGAGCGAAATCCAATCTCCTGGTGAGGGCCCCAGAAGGGACCAACTCTATCTCTCCACCATCCATCCCAGGATGCTCCCCCAAGAAAAGCAAATGACATTCCTCCCCCAAAAAAAGTGGGGAGGAAAAAAGAACATAAACCCGAACATATATTAAAAACTTTTTTAAGATTTAACTCTGAATACAAATGTATTTTTCTTCTCTCCCTACATATATTCTAAACCTTCTAAAGTTTTTTTTAAGGATCACTTTATCATAAAATAAAATATCCTTTTCATATAATAAATTACCTAATAAAAAGTCTTTTTTCATATTAGCCCAGGTTCTTTGCTACATTTATACGGTAATAAATGCCTTTATTAAAATAGAATATTAAATTATAAAGAACTGCTTTTTTGCTTTTTTTTTTTTTTTTTTCTATTTTTTTTTCCTCTCCTGTTGGTCGCCCATCTCACTCCCTCATTGCTTTCTGTTTTGATGCTCGCTCACTTTGCATTTTGCGCTTGTTTCTAGGAAAGGCTCGCTCAACAAGGGCGGGGTTGGATCTGTGGAGCCCCTAGTGTAACAGTCTTTTGCCTTTGTGGTTAAGGAGTGGAGAGGGGGAGGGGATGGACAGACAGACTTCCCTTCTTCCCACCCCCCTCCCAGCCCCTGCCCCTGGGCAGCCCAGGCGCCCATTTGGTTTGGTTTCTATTGTACAGACATCTCAAGATGGCTCACGTTGGTGGAAGGGAGGGAAGCTGCCACAGGCCAGTTTTCTGGGCTGTGACCTCCTTCCTCTCCCCTCCCAAGCTGGTGGTCTGGAGGGGAAGGCTGAGGAGAGGCAAGTTAATTCACAACAGGCAAAAGAGAGAGGAGACCTCCCTCTATGCCCTCATCCCATGTCCTTTCTCCTTCCAGGAAGAATGGGACTGCTGAGCTAGAGGAGCTCAGAGCAGTCCCACCTGACTATATACAAGCATCTCCTGGGCCTCCCCATCACCCATCCCCTCCTGGCCCGGCCAGCGGAACCAGGAGGGTTAGGAGGCTGTCGACAGACACAAAGGAGCAATAGGAGCAGCAAAAGGGTGCCAGACCTATCACAATACCTGATTCTTGTAACAGGCTTCACTGCACCCCAGTCCTGCTTTGCCCTGGCCTGGCCCCTCACCAAAGATCTGGCTTTTCTCCTCAGCCAGTGGGTAAGACAGAGACTTCATGATTTGTGGCTAATAAGGATTCAGTAATGGTTCAGCTAGGTGCAGAGAGGTCAGGGGTAGGCCACTGCAGGTGGGGGGGGAGGGGAGCCCTTCAAGCCACAGCTCTCCTGCCCCAGGACTTTTCCTACTTCCTGCTTTCCCTTTGGGCAGAAGACCCAGGATAAGAACTGCTCCTTAAGTATAATGCCCACAGATGATAGAGGTGGGGTTTTAACCCTTTAGGTACCCCACTATTAGTTTCCCCTCTCAAATTGTCACTGAGTCTAGGGCTACATTCCATCCAGAATTGGAACTGATTCTTTGGAGGCATGGGGGGGGGGGGGAGAGGAGGATAGGACTACAAAGAGGAACTGCGGGGCTACCAAAATGTTCTCCAGGCTTCTCTCCAGGAGGATGGTGTCCCCAAAGCTGGGCTAAAAGGGGCAGGAAGGATGGGGGAAGAAAGGCAGAGGAAGAGGGGACTGAAAGTGACAGCCAAGGAATGGGGAGGAGCAAAGAAATAGGAAAAAAAGCGAAGGGCAAATCCAGAGGAAGTTGGGAAAAAAAGCCAAGCAAAAAGCTGAGGGAAAAGAGAAGCCCCTGCTTCCGGATCTCTCTAGCCCAGCTTTGTGAGACAGGTGAGTTGTGAGCCCTTTACTGATTGACATCCTCCTCCACCCCAGATCTACCCAGATCATCTCCCACATATACTGCTGGGAACCCAGGATAAGAGCGGGGAAGGGGTAAAGGGTCACGTCAGGAGGTGGGAGGTCAGGACCAGAGGCTGGGGATCACTAAGAGCACCTCTAGTTAGTTACACAGGGCAGTTCTTCCTCTCCTGTTCTCTCACCCTCCACAGGAAGGGGCGAAATGACACACAGATGGGGAGAAGGGAAAGGTCAGAATGTCCTGGTGGCCACTTCAGGCTAAACAAAATCTTCTCTTAGCTGCTTCCAGATTTAAGGGTGTGTTGAGGTATCAGAGTTGTAACTCTAGTAAAACTTATGGTCTGGCCCCCTCCTAAAGGGTAACCAGAGGCTCTGAAAGTGGCCCCGCCCCCAGCCACTCCCGCCTCAGATTCCCCACCCCAGCGAGGGAATATTTCCAAGCACCTTGCCCTGTAGTCACTGATTTTTCCAAAAGGCCCTACAGGTCCAGAGTAGCACCCTGGTGTGGTGGGGGGGGGGGGGGGGGGAGGGAAGCGGGCCTAGGAGCCCAGGGACGGGGAGCTTAGGAAAATATTCGGATGGCTTGCGTGGCGGTGATGTGGCAGACAGGACACTCTGGGTCCGTCCTCTCACAGATTCGTACTGCACACTCCATGCAGAAAA